TAGAATTGCCTATTTAAATACACAAATTTAACATTCAATTATCTATGCATGAACAATTTCAATATAATCTTGTCTTGATATACCTTAAAGTACTTATTTAAAAAAAAAAAAAAAAAAAAAACATTGGGCATTATCCCAATCGTGCAATGCGCGTAAAAAACTAGTAATTTAATAAGAGTAATAAAGTGATGTAGATACTTTACATCAATAATAATGAAATCATTGATTTTTTTTTTAATTTCCATTCGTTGTTGAGACAAATTGTTTTAAGAGTTTGTTAATGACAATTGCTACAATTGTTGTTAATTTATAATAAATAATTCGAAATATATGGTCACAATAGATATTGTTATAATGATATAGTAAAAATTAAATAAACTTACAAATTTCTTTAGAAGTTTTCATGCATTGATAATATTCTGATGTGTAAACGTATTCAACTGGGACAGTGGGATGTCAACATTGTCAATTCTTTGAAAAGTGTTTGTACCATTTTAGAGTCCAGATGTAATTGTATTTATGATCAACAACTTTGTAGTTAGATCGTGCAGGTCTAACAATGATGTAAGAACAATTTTGTCCGATAAAAAAATAGTAATGTACAATTGTACCATTATAAAAATACAAACAAAAAATATTAATACCATAATGACCTAAATCATTCTAATAGTGCAAAAGCATAATTGAAATATTAAGTTTTGTTCTAAATATTCAAAAGAAATGTAATTAAACGAGAGAGAGAAACGGTGGACGTTGGCCTGCATGCGAGATGGTGTCTACACCTGTGGGACCGGATGTTGCGGGAATAACAGCCAGGTGGGCAGACATTGTGCTGGAGGAGGAAGCGTCGGCTTTCATGCCGGACGAAGAGACGGACACGGAGGAGGCGGGCGACGATGTGGAGGAGAGTTGGGGGGTTGTGGGGAGGTTCTTGACACGGAAGCTAGTCAGGTTGGAGTTCATGAGTCAGGTCTTGGCATCAGTATGGCAACCGGTGAGCGGAGTTGAGGCAACGGAGGTAGAACCGAGTAGGTTCCTGTTTGTTTTCCATCACGTAACGGACATGGAACGTGTTCTGAATGTGGGGCTCTTGGCTTTTGATAATAGCACATTGGTATGTAAGCAAGTCCCGGACGGGATCATGCCGGTTGATGTAGTGTTGGATACGGTAGACTTATGGGTTCAATTGCATGGATTGCCGAATGGATACTCGTCCAGTCGGATCTTGGAACAGATTGGAAATTTCTTGGGCACGTTTGCTAAGAGTGATGATCGTTTCGATAATGCCCCATGGAAGGTGTTTCACCGGATTAGGGTTTCGTTGTCTGTTGATAAACCCTTGAAAAGGCGGATGAATTTCATTAAACGGGACAAGACGAGTTGCTGGGTAACATTCAAGTATGAACACCTACATACTTATTGCTATTTTTGCGGGATGCTTGGACACTCATATCAGTTCTGTCGTGGGGCCAGGGATTCGAAACTGCCGGTGGAGGAGTATTTGTACGGCCCGGAATTGCGGGCGGGGGGTAGCCGTGGCCCTAGGCCGGTGGGTGGAAGTTGGCTTTTACCGCCGAGACGGCACACTGTGGGCCGGAATCCGCAGGTTGGTCGTGTGGCCGTGGGACGGTCTCCGGGGGTTGGGAATCGGGCTGATGAGGTAGTAGAGGGGGAAGTGGTTGCGGTGGCCAAACGGCGCCGGGAGGAGGTGGGTAGTGAGGGACAGACACATGAGGGAGGGGATGTTGTTATAGCCGAGCTTTCAAAAAACTTGCAGCAGGCGGGTTCTGGTTCCCAGACCTGCCCGGATCAATGAGTACCCTAAGCTGGAACTGTCGTGGCTTGGGTAATCCATGGACAGTTCGGGAGATTGTAGACATGGTGTCCCGTAAGCAACCCGACTTTGTATTTCTGATGGAGACTAAAGTGGCACGCGATCATGCAGAGCGATTACGTGTTAAGATAGGTTATGAGGGGCTTTTCTATGTTGATAGTGATGGGTTGAGTGGTGGTATAGCGTTATTGTGGAAAAAAAAATTGTACGGCCCGGTTGCTAAGTTACTCAACGAACTACGTTGATGTTGGGGTAACTATTGCTGGCTTTCCAGAATGGCGAATGACGGGTTATTATGGTTTCTCGGAACGAACGAGGCGCGCTGAGTCATGGGATCTCTTGAGAACACTATCGGGCAGGTCAACCCTCCCATGGGTTGTCATTGGAGATTTTAATGACTTGCTATATCGGAATGAGAAGAGAGGGGGGAATCTGCATCCGAATCGCCTCCTACGCGGTTTTGGGGAAGCTATTGAGGACTGTGGGCTTGCTTAGTTGCCTATGACTGGATATCCGTACACATGGGAAAAGGGGAAGGGGACAGAAAACTGGATGGAGGAGAGGCTCGATAAGGTTTTGGTGACAGATGAGTGGCGTGGTGTGGTGACGGGGGCTAAGGTGATGAATCTGAGGACCCGGAAATCTGATCACTCGGCTCTCTTTCTGGGGATCCGTGAGTCCGGTGGGGGTGTTGGGCCTGGGAGGAGGGGGTTCCGATTTGAGATGGCATGGTTGCATGATGAGGGGTGCAGGAGTGTGGTAGAGCAGTCTTGGCATGAGGGGAGGGGGCAAGGTTTACAGAATTGTATTCAGTACTGCGGGAACCGGTTAACACGATGGGGTGGGGACCGGTATCATAAGTACGGAAAACGGATCAATGAGCTGACAAGGGAACATCAGCGACTAAGGGGGCGTACTGACCCGGCCTCGCTTGCAGAGTTCCGGCGCCTAGAACAGCTGTTAAGCTGCACTGAAGATCAGGAGGATGCCTATTGGAGGCAGAGAGCCAAGCAACACTGGCTTAAGGAGGCGGATGCTAATACGAAGTTTTTTCACAGGTATGCCTCTCACCGAAAAAAGAAGAATACTATTTCTAGATTGATGAATGATAATGGGGATTGGGTGGAGGGGGAGCCTATGAAAAATATTATCTTGCAATATTATAACCGTATTTTCTGTGCTGGAACCCCGGGAACTGGGGAGGGGTTTTTTGAGGGGATTGCTCCGCGAGTCACGCAGGCACAAAATGAGTCTTTGCTGCGGCCTTTTGAATTGGAAGAGGTTAAGGGTGCATTGTTTGCAATGTTCCCGGATAAGGCACCAGGCCCGGATGGAATGAATCCGGGCTTCTACCAGCATTTTTGGGATGTGGTAGGGGGGGATGTGGCGAGCTTTATAATAAATTGTGTAGAGTCCTGTGATTTCCCGCCCGGGTTGACTGAAACTGATATTGTTTTGATCCCTAAGAAGAACACCCCTGAGTTTGTAACTGATTTGCGCCCTATAGCCCTCAGTAATGTGGTCTATAGAGTTATGGCAAAAATGTTAGCTAACAGAATGAAGCCACTAATGGAGGGAATAATATCTGAGTCACAAAGTGCTTTTGTCCCAGATAGACTGATAACGGATAATATACTATTAGCTGCGGAAGTGGGGCATTTTCTGAACAGAAAGCAGTGTGGGGTGGGGGATGGAGTGCTCTCAAACTGGACATGGAAAAGGCATATGATCGGGTGGAATGGTTTTTCCTCCGTAAGATGATGCTGGCGTTGGGTTTTCATGGTGGTTGGGTGGAATTGATTATGAAATGTGTCACCACAGTTTCCTATAATATTCAGGTGAATGGTTTAAGATGTGATCCTATTATACCCACTTGTGGATTAAGGCAAGGGGATCCTTTGTCCCCGTATCTATTTATTATCTGTGCGGAGGGACTATCTTTATTACTGCAGCAGGCACATACTGTGGGATCATTACATGGATGTAGGGTAGCCAGAGGTGCCCCCCCCCCCCCCCCCCCAATCTCTCATTTATTCTTTGCGGATGATAGTCTTTTGTTTTTTAAGGCCAGTGTGGAGGAAGCAATTGAGGTTAAAAGGTGCTTATCTGTGTACGAGGATCTGTCTGGGCAGGCAGTTAACTATCATAAGTCAAGTATATGCTATAGCAGAAATACAAGCAATGTTGATAAGGAAAATGTGGCTCAGATTTTGGGAGTGACGCAGGCTCCTAATTTTGGCAAGTATTTAGGACTCCCCTCTTTTGTTGGAAGACACAAGAAAGCAGTTTTTGCGTATGTTGAGGATAAAATCCGTCAAAGGATTGGGTAAGGAGATTATGTTGAAAACTGTAGCACAATCTATGCCTACGTTTTCAATGAGTGTTTTCTTGCTACCTATATCAGTGTGTACGGCGATAGAGATAATTATGAATCGGTATTGGTGGGATTCTGGAACTGACAGGCGAATACATTAGAAGGCATGGGACAAGTTGTGTATCCCTAAGAAATATGGGGGGTTGGGTTTTAAAGATTTGCGTGCTTTTAATCTAGCAATGCTAGGAAAACAGGCGTGGCGAATGTTGACTAAGCCTGAGTCCCTGGTGGCGCGTGTGTATAAGGCCCGTTATTTTCCAAAGGGATCTTTCTTTGATGCACAAGTGGGAAATAATCCCAGTTTCTGCTGGCGGAGCATCATGGCAGCAAAGAGTATAGTTTGTGGTGGGGTAAGGCACAGAATTGGTAACGGGGAATCTACACTCATATGGACCCACCCCTGGTTACATGATGATCATGACCCTATGGTACAGACAGAAATGCCAATACAGTTGCAAGGAGCCAGGGTCGCAGGTTTGATTGATCAGCAAACCGGTAATTGGGACCCCTCAATTTTAACTAATCTATTTCAACCTAGTGATGTAGCAGAGATTATGAAAATACCCATCTCCCTGGATTATGATGATACCTGGTACTGGTATGGGGACCCAAGAGGAGAGTATTCTGTTAAGAGTGGATACAGGCTAATAGTAGGAAATTATCTAAGGAAATAATGGGATATTTACAAAATGGTTACACCTATGGAAGCTCAAAATCCCACCAAAATGGAAAATGTTTCTTTGGAGAGCCATTAGTGATATATTGCCTACCACTACAAACTTGCTTATAAAGATGGTGGATGTGGATCCACGATGTGCCATGTGTGGAATATCTCAAGAAGACACAATGCATGCTTTAGTGTTGTGTGATTTTGCAAAGAACATTTGGAATAAATCTAACCTCACAATCCCCAATATAGTCACAAATGTTTTTCATGATTGGTTTGGTGAACTCTTAAATGTTCTAGACTCTGATGGGATGTTATATGCAGCAGCAATTCTTTACAATGTTTGGAGAGCAAGGAACAGGGCGGTCTGGGAGGCAACTTTACCGCGCCCGGAGATGGTACTCAAGGCCGCCGCTGCTGCCAAGTTAGCATGGACGCGGGCGCACCCACTGCCCACGGCCCGAACTACTACGCTGCCAATCGAGCCGGTTCAACTGCAAGGGGAGTTCGGGCTGCATGGTGTCGAGCTGCACACTGCCGAGACGCCACATGGTCCGCCGAGGAGGCTGTGTCGTGTAGATGGGGGATTTATGCAAGGGACGGGCCAAGCTATATTTGGGGCGGTCTTACTAGATACGAACGGAGGCTACGTCTCGGCATACAGCGGACCGCTACAAGGATGTTCCTCGCCACTTATGGCCGAGGCGCTCGCATGTAAAGAGGCTCTATCATGGTTGAAGGATCGGGGGGAACAGAATGCCGAGATATATACGGACTGTTTGACACTACACCACTATCTTACGACACCAACCGTTGTGTTGCGCACATATCTAGGCTATGCCATTGACAGCTGCAGATTTAATGCATCTTCGTTTCAGTCTTGTTCGTTCCATTTAATTCCTAGATTAGATAACTATTTAGCTCATGCTTTAGCTACTACGGCTTACCAGCAATTTGCTGCCATGTATTGGGATCTGCTCCCACCAGATATTATTTCGGCATATTTTTAATGAAGCACCATATAATTTTCAAAAAAAAAAAAATGAGAGAGAGAAAAAAAACTTAACCTAAATTTGTTTTTTTAAAAAATGCAAGAAAATCAAATGATTTTCAAAATTCCTGATTTATAATCTTTGATGCTCAACTTTGAATGTTATGTATTTAGTCGGGTTAATTATTTAACCAAAGTTTATGTTAAATATTTTATATATATATATATATATATATATATATATATATATATATATATATATATATATATATATATATATATATATATATATATATTCTAATACGTTTTAACATATTTGTAAATATGTTTAACAATTATGTCAACTCTAATTGAGATAGGATTCGAACCTAAGACCTTTTTATAGAAATTAATGAGTAAGGGTGTGTTTGGAAACCCGGAAAATGATTTCTGGAAATCATTTTTCGGGTTTCCAATGTTTGGAAAGAAGGAAAATTTGAAGTCAACTGAAAATGAGGTACTGGTCAATGGAAAATGGGCCTATTTTTAAGGAAAACAACTTCCCCTTTAAAAAAGGGGAAGTCATTTTCCGAATGTTGACTTCTTCATTTCTTCACTTCAAGAGCAGTTGACTCTCTTCATCTTCATTGGCTTCTTCATCCTTTGTCTTTTGGGCTCACTGGTTTCCGGCAGGTTTTGGTTTCCGCCGGAAACCAATGAATATTATGTTTGTTTTTTTTAAAATTTTTTTTTAAATAAATAATATTATTTGATTTTAAAAATAAATATTATTATTTATAATATTATTGTAAATTTTATATATTTTAAACAAAATAATTGATTATATAAAATGTTTAATTATACAATTCTACATCATTTCCAGAAAATGAGCCAAACACCAAAAGACAGTTTTCCATTGTGCAGTCAAACACAGGAAAGGAAAATGACTTCTGGAAAATGACTCATTTTCCAAAAGTCATTTTCCAGAAGTCATTTTCCTGCTTTCCAAACGGACCCTAAGTTAAGAATAATAAATAGTTAACGGAATATTCCGATACTGAAATTTATACTAACAGAATTTAAGGTTATTTAAGAGAAGAAAATAATGTAATAGAGGGTAAATAAGAAAAATCATTAAATAATACTAAAATCAAAATAATATGAACCATTCATTTTAAGAAACAATTGTACCGATATTTTTTTTGTTCCAGTCAAGGGCCTAACATTATTGGCTCTTATTAGATTTGAAAATAAATTGTAGATGTAGAGATAGAGATTATGTCGTAATAATATATTTAATTTAATATTTAATATTCAATATAATAATAATAATGATGTAATAGAAGTAAAATTATATTAGAAAATAATGATTTAATATAAAAATTTACCAATAAATGTATTCATATTGCTAATCTCATTTGACCAATTATTATTATTAATTTTATTATTACTATTATTATCATTATTATTATATTATTATTATTATTACTAGTATTTGTCCCGTGCGATGCACGGAAAATATGTTATAAAAATATACTCTATATGAGGTTTATTTATATATAAAATTTTTGTTATTTAATAATTATTATGTGTGAATTCCTATGATAAAATTATGAACATAAATATATTAACAATTAAAATAATATTTAAGGTGGGTGATTACTACAAATCTTAAACTATATTAAAAATTTAGTAGATAATATTTAATATTACAAATTTTTAAGAACTTAGTAAAATACAATAGTAATTGAATTACAATTTAGAGTCATCACGGATCACAATTTTTAGACCTTTGAGATTTCTAACTCTAGATATAGCAACATACAATTGACCTTTAAAGACCAAAATCACAATCTTAGTTCAAACATTGATTTTTTCTTCAAAATACTATCGAATTAAGTGTGTAATCAATAAAAGATGAGAACTAAAAATTTGAGAATATAATCTTAATGTTACTAAGCCTACTTCACGTCAATTAAATTGGAGAGTGTTGTTGGATAGTATCCGATGAATCCACGAATAACGCATCTTTGTCTCCGTAGTCCTTAATATGCACATCAACAATCTTAAATATTAGGCCGCCTAGCTATGTCATATAGTAATTTCAAACTTATGAACTTTGAGGTTGCATGCAATAAAAAGTATATTTTAAATATACTAAGGGTACATTATATATGTATGTAAGGTACTTTCAATATAAAAATAATGTATTTTTAATATATTAACAATGTATTTGATATTCATGATCCATACAATTATGTGGACAATCGTTCACACAATAATTTGCCAGTAGAAATTGAAATATAAATAAATAAATAAATAAATAAATATATATATATATATATATATATATATATATATATATATATATATATATATATATATATATATATATATATATATATATATATATATATATTATTGCAATTATTATCATTATTATCATTATTATTATTGCAATTATTATTATTATTATTATTATTATTATTATTATTATTGTTATTGTTATTATAATTAACAACAATATTATTATGGTCTTGTGAAAATTAAATGTTGATTATCACCATTTAATTTTCACAAGACCATATAGCTTTATTATATATAGGATTATTAAATAATAAATAATTATTAGACAAAGTTTAGGATGGTCATAATTATGAAGAGGGCTTAATAAGAATAATAAGTATTATTAAGGTAAGTACTTACTTTGTTTATTATTATTATTATTGGTAAGTAATTATTATTATTAAATAATTATTAGACAAAGTTTAGGATTATTAGAATTATGGAGAGTGTTTAATAAGAATAATAACTGTTATTAAGGTAAGTACTTATTTTGTTTATTATTATTATTATTATTATTATTATTATTATTATTATTATTATTATTATTATTAAATAATTATTAGACAAAATTTAGGATTGTCAAAATTATGGAGATGATTTAATAAGAATAATTAGTATTATTAAGGTAAGTAATAATAATTTTCTTTGTATAAGAAAATTAGTATTATTATTATTATTATTATTATTATTATTATTATTATTATTATTATTATTATTATTTGAAAGGTCGAAGCCCAACCCTAAGGGCCTCCCACACCTCGGTCAGACCATATTATAAGAATAATTAGTATTATTAAGGTATGTATGTATGTATGTATGTATGTATGTATGTATTATTATTATTATTATTATTATTATTATTATTATTATTATTATTATTATTATTATTATTATTATTATTATTATTATTATTATTATTATTATTGCTTTCACATTTTGGAGGGAAAAATTCTGTGCCAATCATTTTGCTTTAATATATATAGAGATAGAGATTATGTTGTTCATTGCTCTAAAAATATTGTAATATTATTTTTACCGGATAAAATTATCTTACACCGTTAAATTTCATTTAGTATATATTAAATATTATCATAATTATATTTAGTCATCTACCATATCTAAAATTATTACTTTAATAATTATCAATCATTCCATAATTATTACTAAATTTATCAATTATATTTTTAATATAATATGAATTCTATAATTATGAATTTTTAAAAATTTATATACTATTATTTAAAAAATGTCAATATAAATAAGATTTGAATTTTTTTTTTCTTTTCAAAATGGTCTCTCAAATATTGCTCATTCTCATTTTTACATTTCAACTTTCAATTGCACCAAATGTGTTCCCTAACATTCAAAAACTCACCCAATTCAGTCATCTGTTAGGTATTCTGTTTACTCAATGTTAAAATGGAGGGCATTTTGGTTCGTTCACATATTTTGTGCCTAATACACTCACCAATAGTCGAGGGGTCAATTTGAAAAAAAACAAACTATTTTATTTATTTTCATTTTTTATTTTAGACTCTATCAAATTAGAATTTCTATAGATTTTTTTTCAACTCTTTTATTTATTTTATTTTTGTTAATTTTCATTATTGTTTTTAGACTATCAAATTAGAATTTTGATAGATTTGTTCTCTACTCTTTTATTTATTTTGTTTTTATTTAGTTTAATTTTTGCTTTTAGACTCTATCAAATTAGAATTTTGGTAGATTTTTTCTCACAAATATAAATAATTAAAATTTACACTCCAACCCCAAAATTTTCAACTTTTTACTTTTTCCATCTGTCTAAATATATAAGTTTTTCCTCTATCCTATCAAGTTTTACAATATGTTTCGTAACTTTCATAAATACTCATATGCTTTTTTTTTTATCTTTTTATGTTCATATATATCTAAAAAATCATACTAAAAATTCAATAGACAATCAATCACTATGTATCGCAATAAATATTATTTTTATCATTGAAAAAATATTAGTATATTTTTTCAGTTTAGACACCCCAAGGAGTGCAAAATGTAAGGAAATGTTGGACCAAAATGTAAATTTGTCCAGTAAACTTATCGGCTGAGCCGAAAAGTAAACTCTCGCCTGTGATCGGAAGGTAAGTTTACTTCTCAGTCATACCAATGAGGGACGCACTTCTTGGTCAGATAGGTGCTTCCAGTGTTGCAAAAATTGCGCCGCTCGGCCGTGGCGAGGAAGTCCGAAATCAGCCGCCTAGCCGGCCGAACCATCCCTTTTTTTTTTTTTTAGTGTTATTCGCCAAATGACCAAAATACCCCATTTTACAATATTAGTGTTGACTTGTTGAAGTTTATACTAGTTGCAAAGTGTAGAAACTTTAGCAAGACATAACTTTTGACTCGGTTATCCATTTTGGACAAAAAAAAAAATTGAAATCGCGTTTTTTTCGAGGAATGCGGTTTGCCCCTCCAATTTCTCAAAAAATTGCTTCTTTGGGTCTTAATTTTAGGTTTTTTTTTTTTTATTTTATGTATTTAGATGGTTACAATAATATTTTGAACCATTTTACAACCACTTACGTAAATAGTTTGTAAGAAAAAATTAGAGGAACATTATGTTTTATTAGTGAATTTTTACAATTTTTAGTTTTAAAAAAATTAAGTAAAAATAAATAAAAAATCGGGTTCCTAGGGGGCGCCTAACGTATTTTG